CCCCTGCTGCTAGCCCCAGCTCTGCCCAAGCACTCATGTGGGAGCAGGGCCAGGAGGAGCAGGGCCCGGACCTGGGTGATCAAATTGTTGCATAAATTGCTGATTTTATCCCCTGGAGGCTAGTCCAATTCACCTCTAGAAGAGGGTCACACTTTCAGGCTGGGTCCAACTCTATTTTATTGCTTGCAAGCAGGCCAACAGAGGAGCTTGTTGCTCAGATCAGTGTCGACCCTAAACAAAGAGCGCACGTGGCTTTTATTGGGCTAGCGTTCTTTTCAGTTGACGTGTTACATTTTGATTGGTCATTTCAAACCAAAACCTGAGCAACCTATAAGGCATACGTAGTGGGCCATCCTGTACCATGTGGGTGGAAAGTTACAGAATGCAGGGGTGGATACTAAAACAAGGAACAAAGAAACATAGAGAAAAGTATCTATTTTCGCTACAACAGTACAATAAGCCTGGGCATTGCCAAAACACTTTCCCAAATAAACACCTTGTCTCCCACCCAACAATGCAACAACCAGGCTTCAACCTTCCACAGAGCATGTGGACAGCCCTTAATAGGATATGCACTGGGCATGGCTGGTGTGGCCACCTGATGTACAAGTGGCACCTAAAAGCCTCACCTGGCTGCAACGGTGGGAACCCTGACCAAACCATGGAGCACATCACAACATCCTGCCCCAGATATAACTTTGAGAGTGACATCCTGGAGCTACACTTGCTTTCCTGCAGGGCATTGGTCTGGTTGAGGAATTTGGAATGAAAACTGTGACAATACACCTTGCTTCTTCTAAAACCATATGAACAGTGCTGGAGCAACGAAGCTTGGTGCTTGGGACAAAGCGGGCAGTGGCAGCCACAAATGCCCCCCCATGCTTGCCCAGGAGTGCATGCAGCAGTGGGAGCCACCCCCATCCCTGTGCCCCCAAACGAGCCGGTTGCGGCACTGCCCCATGCCCCACCTCGCCTGGGCAGCACCTGTTGGTGTCCCTTTGCTTTGGTGCCTGGGGCAGTTGCCCCCCTTGCTATGGCACTGCATACGAAAGAAATAAGAGTGTAGACATGCCCGTTATTTCTAACCCCCCAGCTTACAGTGCTCACCTGTTTTTAAAATACATCTGCTTGTCATGCAAAGGGTTGCCTTCACCCCCTCTCCCTCAGATGTAACTCCCCCACCCCGTCCCCAGGGCTATTTCTAGGCCACCCGGACAGGGATTTTCAGCGATCAGTGACTTAATTTTGAGCCCAGCATAAGCTTGGCTGACTCTGACCCTGTGGCTCTCTGCTGCCCCTCTCTCCCCGAGGTCCTTGGGCAGGGATTCCTGCGAGAGAGAGGGAGCGAGCGCCGGGGCGGGGCGGGGCGGGGCGGGGCGGGGCATGCAGGCTCTTGGCTGTGCGCTGCGGTGCCTGCTCAGCCCTGCCACGTTCTCACGCAGCGGCTGCAGAGGGAGAAGCGGGCTCTCCTCAGCTAAGTTTCACTTTCTATCCTCCCCAGCTAGGCAGCGGGAAATCAAAACTGAAGGAGCGCTGGCGACGTGCTGCTTGGGGCGGTGCAGCTCCGATCCAGGCAGAGCCGGCGAGCCCTGGCCATGAGCACACGTCCTGGCGGCGGAGGAGCGGAGCGCCCCTGGCACGGCTCGCCGTAAGTACTCGGCAGTGGCAGCGGAGCACTGCGGCCAGGGGTGCGGGGTGTCGGGAGAAAGACCGCAGGCAGACGAGGCTCTTGGGGTAAATCCCAGATTTTTTTTATTAGACCAACTAAAAGCCAAGTCAAATTGGGTTAGGCCAGCCAAAGCCTTTTTGTATGCAGTCTGTAATGAGGCTAAACTATAATGAGGCATCAATGAATTTAGAATGTTATCACTTTCCTTGGGTAAATCCGATATCTTGTGTTAGACCCAGTTAAACTTTATTTGGTCGAATACAAGGTATCAGATGCACCCTAAGAAAGTGATAATCTACATTCATTTAAAAAAATCATAACATTTTAGTAGGTCTAAGAAAAGATACCAGATTTGAAACCTTGTCTAACTTTATCCCAAAGTTTGTAGCCGTGTCAGTCTCAGGACATAGGCAGACAAGGTTCTTTGGGTAAATCCAATACTTTTCGTAAACCAACTAAATTTTATGATTTTTTAAAATGAATTTAGAAAATCACCTTCTTTGGGTAAACCCAATATCTTTTATTAGACCAACTAAATTTTTAATAAAATAAAATGGTCTAATAAAATTTTAGTTGGTCTGATAAAAGATATCAGATTTGAAACCTTGTCTAATTTTATCCCAAAGGGTACAGCTGTGCCCGTCTAAGAATATAGGTAGACAAAGGTCTTTGGGTAAATCCGGTATCTTTTATTAGACCAACTTTAGTTGGTCTAATAAAAGTTACCAGATTTACCCAAAGAAGGTGATAACATTCTAAATTCATAAAAAAAATCATAAAATTTCAGTTGGTCTAATAATAGATATTGGATTTACCTAAAGAACCTTGTCCACCTAGGTCCTTTGACTGACACGGCTACAACCTACACCCTGAAACATGTAGGATAAAGATCAGACATAAGAAGGACGTGGCAACTTAACCTCCCCAACTGCCTGCAGAGCATGTCTTCTGCAGGTGACATCTTTTATTGGACCTCGGTAACTAGGATAAAGTTAAACAAATGTGAAACCTTTTGAAACCTTGTCTAACTTTATCCCAACTACACAGTTGGTCGAATAAAAGATGTCACCCTAAGAAATCCTTGCCTTTTGCAGCACTATCTAGAATGATTTTTTAAAATTATCATTTTTGTACATGGTTTCCCTGCTCTATTTAAGAGAAATGTATAATGTTGCATGTACTATCATAGGGCTATTGCATGTAATAGGCTATTACCTTTATTATCCTATTATAAGAAAAATTCTTAACCTGATCCTGAGAAAATTCTGATCCTGACCTGGTTCTAAGCAAAAAAAAAAAGGATTTTAATGCCATTACCAGCATCTTTTCCCCATCTCAGTTCTCATGGAAAAAATGCCCTTATCTGGTTTCAGTGGGGTCCCTTGTCAGAGACCAATCCAAGCCTATCAGGCTAGTGTGGTCAAAGTATGCAAGGTTTTAAAGCAGCGCAAAAGGGAGTGACGTACCTGGTATCATAACTGGTTTCCCTTGATTCCCTAGACCTAAATGACTACCGTCCCCTTTACAGCTGGATTGAATATCCGTGTGGGACGGGGAATGGCATGAGTCCAGAGTAGGACTAGACTCACAGCTCTGGAGAAATAGCATAATGACTTAACTGCTTTTTGGCAGACAAATTTCTTTGGGTAAATGTGATTTCCTTTATTAGACCAACTAAACAGTTGGCAAAATTGTTCTTTACAAACTTTTGGGCACAACCACCCTTCTTCAGGCATAGGGAGAGTCTGCTGGTGTTTGTGTACTCTCCTGGGTGGAACAGAAGCTTAAGTGCTCTTCTGCACCCCACTTCCAGGCTTGCTAGGACCAAGTCTTTGTGGGCCAAGTGGGACTCTTAGGGATCTGCTACAAAATCTGTTTTTAAAATATTCAGAGAATTGTGAACACAGGGAAGAAAACTTTTCTACTGATTTCTAAATACTCCGCTGGAAAGCAAAGGTACTGTATTAAAATATAATGTAAAATCTTAAAGTTTCTATGTTGCCTGAAAAAAATGTAAGCTGATAATTTGGTAATAATGCATTTTTTTAGATTAAGTAGCTCTTAATTTAAGAGCTTATAGCACATGATGGGAGGGCTGCAACTAATTCTTTTCTTTCCCTTTTTGGTTTGGAGGCCAAACTGGAAAAATATGAGTTTGGTCCAAAACTCTTCATCGCTCTCAAGCTTTTCTTGGTTCCTGCTATTGCTATAACCGCCCTGTATCTAACCCCTGTTCCATCTTTTTCTTGAAGGCTCACTCTATAACCCGTTAAAAAAATCCTTTTCACCTACCCAAGTCTTCCTGTTCTGACTGACCTGTTGTTCTGCTCCTCCTCTTTCCATAAATTGTGATGGCCCCCCCAAATCATTTCCATTTCATTTCTGTCTCTATCTAGCTCTCCCCCCAACTCCAAGGTGGCTGTTGAATAGGCAATACTTTTTGATTGAAAAAGTTAACTCCATTCACAACAAAATGTCTCTGCATGCTATACAGTTTAATATAAATTGTTCTAAACTTTTTACTGTTATTTCCTTTTACATTATATAAGGTACTAAAATATTCACTGAATCCTAGAAAGCAAGAGAGATATAGGTTGGTGATTGGGGCACTCACATGGCTCCCTGGCACTGCTACAATAACTATTTATGTGTTTATACAAAATAGAACAGCAAAAAATTGAGAACACCCTTCACCCTTCTTCCGCCTGCTTACAGACCAGAATCCCCTGCAGTGTAGTCACTGGTCACTTTTCTTAGAAGGAATGTGATTCAGGTTCAAAATATGGTAAGTTCTGACTGTGCAGAAGCAGAAACATCTTAGTTATCTGACATCCTAGTTTGTGGCTTGACCACTGGGCTAGCTGGTAAAAAATGGAACCACCTCCTTGTCAGGCAGTTTTATGAATCTGATTTTTTTTCCCCGGTTGAAACTACCTGGTGAATTCAACACTATTTAGCAAATTTAAATTAGCCAGATAGCTTCAGGATAACCACAGCCACTTTTTTTTTATGCATTGAAAAAATGTGACTTTTTTTAGAAATTGTCTGGTTTGCCATAGCTAAAACTAATGCACTACAAAAGGAGACATTTAGCCGCTTATCCTAAAAAGTTCCCCATCTCTTTATAGATTACAATCAAGTTTGCCTGTATTTTAGAAGGTAAAAGGTGTCAGTTACTGTAGAAACTGCAGTTTTCTCTTTCTTTTCTGATTCAGCCTCTTTTTAAGTGTTGCCCTGTTCTCCTCTGTCCTCTCTGCATTCCTTCCCTTCAGTATTCTTTCCCACTTTTGATCTCTCTGACACCTCTCCTCTATTAATTCTTTTACTTTGTCTGTCTTCCCTTTTCTCAGCACCTTTTAGTCTTTTTTTCATTTCCTTTTTTCTTCTATAACCAATTAAAAATACTTTTCACCTGCCCAAATCTTTTCGTTCTGAGTGGCCTGAAGTTCTGGTCCTCCTTTTTCCATAAACTGTAATTGTTCCCACAAATTTTCTCCACCTTATTTTTGTCTCTGTTTAGCTCTCCCCCTCCCATGTGGGCTATTGAATAGGAAATGTTGATTGCTTCCTGGTCCCATCTCAGTTAAGACTCTGTGGGTGTGTCTACTAATGTGCTTTAAGGTGATTGGGTGTGTTACATATTAATTAATTCACCGTAATCATGGCGCATTATGTTTAGTATCTCTAATAACAGGCAGTAACTTAATGTACTGTAATCAGCACTCCTGGACAGTAGCGCCAGGGCATGTTTTTTTTGTGAGGCTAATGAGCAGTAGGGCTGTGCAAAATGGCACTGTTCCATTTCGACTTCAGTTTCGAGGTTTGGCTGGAACAGTGTTTTGTTTTGAATTTCATTTTGAGTTGAAACAGCTGTTCCATTTTGCTTTGTCGAAACAGTGAGGCTGTTTCGACGCTGTTTCAATGTTTCGCCCGACCATTGGGCTGGGGAAAGGAACTTCCCATGCCCAGCCTGATCAATTGTGGGGCTGGGGAGGGGAACTGAGCAATTGGGCTCAGTTTCTTTCCCCAGCCCGATCACAGTGCTTGGGAGGGGAACTGACCCTGGGCTCAGTTCCCTTCCCCTGTGCTGTGATTGGCTTCCTTCAGCCCAGCGCCGGGAGATGGGGAGAGCCAGGGCTGTGCTCCAGGCTGCTGCTGGGAGGGCAGCTCTGGTTCTCTTCTGTCTCCTACCACCTTGCTGCTGGCTGCTTCGAAACTTTTGAAAAATTTCAACTAGCCTCGTTTTGTTTTGGGGCTGTTTCAAAGCCCTTTGTTTTGAGCTTGAAATACAGCATCGAATCGAAACAGCTGGTGAACTTCTGCACAGCCCTAATGTGCAGTAGGCTAATTCTACTGCACATTAGTGCATTAGCACGATTTTTGCCTTCCAGGCTATTGTGCAGTAGAATTAATCTACTGTGAATTTACTGTGTTGTGTAAATGCTCCCACTGCACAGTAAAATAAATTACAGTAAGCTTTCCCCAGGAGCATGTCTATACATGCACCTGTTGGGAACAAATTTGCTCCCAACAGGAGCAGTTCAGTGCAAGGCTACTTCTGCCCTGCTCTGCCCCCCCCCATACAGCAGCCAGGGGGGCTCCAGGCTCCCCCAGGTGTCAGTCCCAGGCTGGTAGGGGCACTGGGGTCAGGCCCTGGCTCTGGGGGATGTGGTGGTAGCTGTCCTGTCTCCAGGGCAGCTGCCCTGTCTCCAGGGCAGCTGCCTCCCAGACCTGTGCCCTGATCAGCCGATTGGGGCAGGGGCTGGGAAACTGTCCCCTGCCCCAGACAGCTGCCTGCTTCCCAGCCCTGTGCCCCAATCATGCTTTACTAGATTAGTTTACTGTGCAGTAAACCTTGTCTTGTGTAGACATGCCCACAATCTACTTCATTTGGTATTACATTAATGTATTTACACTGTTCCAAATTTCCCTAGATTGGGCAAACCGTAAGACTAAATCCCTGTCCCTTACCTCTGTTAAAGAGGTACCTCCACATCCACTTAGAATCAGATTTTCAAACATATGGAAGCGCCTAAGTACTTTTGAGAATCTGGTCTCCTGGCATCTGGTAGGATCAGCCCTATGATACTAAAAATATTTTCCTAGCCCAGCTTCCAGGAAAGTAATGAATTATTTGGATTCTAGTTAGCTCTTCTACCTAAGTGGTTATTATATCTTGGGCATCATTTAGATACTTATGTAGCTTATATGTGAGACAGTGAATACTCTACTTGTATTAAAGAGCCTTTGGTTCTTACCTTTTCAGGACACTTAAGTTGATTTCCAAGTCTAATGCTTTGTAAGCTATCATTTGTGTTATGTTGAACTCCAGCATTTTTGGGTTGTGATTATTTAGAGGGTGATTCTCAATTTGGGATAGACAAACACGCTGGTGGATGGACAATATCTGGTGTCCAGTTGCTTGAATGCATCTTTTAGCTTTATTGTGGTGATTTGATGGATTCTGTGGGCCCAGTCCTTAAAGGTATGGATAATCTCAAGATGCCATTGCTCAATGAGAGTTGTAAAAGTCTTGTTAAACCAATAGGGATGGAAGCTTTGAAAGAAGGATAAATGATATTCAGTAGCAGCTGGGTGCTTAATTTCATTAGGCTCCTTTAAAATCTCAGTCCAGAGTGGTGGAGTAGGGATTCAGGCCATTTTAACACAAAACAGATAAACAACTCATCAGCTTAAAGGCAGGAAAAGCTGAGATTTGCCCTTCTGAGAATTCACCAGGTTTGTAATGGAATAAAAGGTTGCTTTTAACAGACACAGCAGAACACTCTGTTAAAAGGCTGATTATTTGTTGCGCTCTCTTTTCTGTTTGACAGATATCTATGTAATATTCAATACCAGACCTTCTCTCCAGGGGACATTCACAATTCTTTCACTAGAGGGTGCTGCAACTACAGGATTCAGAAGTGTGGAAAAATTGTACTATTTTTTGAGGTTTCATCGTGTGGCAATTACATTTTCTGTCCTGGCCTTGTCGTATCATTTTAATGAGAAAATGCACAGAACCCTGGCTTCCTGGTCACATGAAAACATCTGAAGCAAACAAAGTCTTCAAGATATTTGGCAGCTAAACTATTGCAGCTCTGGTTATAAGCTAGCAATCTGTAAACTCTTAATATTAATATTTCTGTGAAGCGCCATGAGTTAGACTGGGGAGCTACACTTCTGTCTGTACCTTTATTTAGCAACAAAACAAATATAGGAAGTGCAGTGCAAGTGACAGCCTCATCCCTCCTGCCATGCCAATTCACATCAGACCTGGAGTGCCAGCTCAAACCCACCAAAACATAATGATGATAGTAACATTTATTTCTTGATATTCCATCTTTTTTGCTGTGAAAACTTCAAATGACAAAATGAATTTTATTTTGCTGTGTACTATACATCTTTCCAACCTTTCTATGTACTTTTTAGTTTTTGTGTTGCCTAGTGCCATTGATGGGCCAGGGAACTGGACGACAAACGAGAAGCAACAAATCAGAGCTGCCAGTGAATTTCAACATGAAGACAGCAGCAGAAGTAGAAAAGGATACAGGGAAAGTTATGAAGAGCAGAGATCAGAAGCTAATATCTGTCTATGGTGTGGCAGACTTAAATAATGGTAATGCTTTTTAAAAAATTTCTCTCCCTCTTTCTCATTCTATTTTTCTGTGTTTTGCTCACTTTCTCTCACTTCCTCTTGAATTCTTCATTCTCTCTCTCTGTCCCCCAGTTCTTTCTCTCTTCGTTTGATTTCACACATGGAGGATTCTTATAAATTAAATACCAGGACAACATATTTGGCCCTACCAAGTGAAAGCTTTGTACTTTACGGAAAATGATCCCAAATAGTTTCTTCCTTTCAAAATCTTAAACTGGGCAGCTTCGTCATGACAGTTGAAGAAAGTTAGATGTTGCCTGCGTCACTCTTCATCCCCATTCACTGTATGCCAGGGGTGGGCAAAATGCATCCTGGGGGCTGGATATGGCCCGCCAGGCCACTCTATCCGGCCTGCAGAGCCCCTAAAAAATTTAGAAAATTAATATTTATCTGCCCTTGTCATGCGGCCCTCGATGGCTTGCCAAAACTCAGTAAGCGGCCCTCCACCCAGAATAGTTGCCTGCCCCTGCTGTATGCATAAACTGCTGGAACCCTTGTCTCCTTATCACCTGTTATATTCATTTCCTTACTGCTATGCATCTCTCTCTCTGTCTGGGTGGAGCTGATTACTCCAAAAGTAAAACTTTTCAGAAGCACCCATCACTTACCCCCACCTGCACTCAGCACAAAATACAGTTTCCCTTGCTTTATGTGGGTTCTGTATGTGTGAATTCACTCCTACATGATGACTCTTTTTATACCAAAAATGTGTTATATGCAAGGTAAATTCACTCTTATGCGATCAGTGTGGTGGAAGCCGGCAGTCAGCTGCTTTGTGCAGTGCACTGTGGGAGTGATGCGCACCAAAATATAGTCTCCTGTGTGGATCTGTACTACTCATTCGTTGTCTGTGACATGTGTTTCTGTAGTTGCCATCCCCATTATGATAGTGCCCTGTGCTTGTGTGTACTGTCTGCTGTTGGTGAGTACCAAAATTGTCCTGTAAAAGTGATAGAAATGGGTCTGGGGGTCAGAACAGTTGAGGTCTTGGAACCTGTCCCTATTTGTGACAGTGTAAAGTGGGTTCCCTTTATGCAAATTTGAGTTATACGCTGTTTTCCAGGGATGCATGTACAGTACAGCATAAAGGGAGGGAAACCTGTATACCTTTGTTTTTCATGAGGCTCTGAGTGAAAATGATTCCTTGCCCTTTGCTCAACTTTGTTCCTTTCCCTGACACTGACAACCAAATCTGAAATGTGTCTGAAGGGGAACACTGAATCCAGGGGAGCAGATCTGTACTATAAGAACTCAAACCCAGATCTGCACTGTATGATTTGGGGCTACCTCTACAGAAGGCTCTATAGAAACCTCTCATATCCAGATGACACTCCATTTGTTTTTGTTTGTTTTTGTTGTTTTTTACAATTTTGAGGGAGGAGATTTGGTGTTTCCACAACCCTGGCCAAGGTGCTGGGCTTGTGTGTTAAGCAAGCTGTAAATGCCTAACAGGAAATTTGCCATCTTTCCAGTGCGATTGAAGCTCTCTCACAGCACATAAGATGTAAGCCTCACTTTCTTTTCTGTGCCTATAGGAGCAATTGGGCTGTACAATGTTGGACTGAGCTGCTGCCTGAACTCCTTGCTCCAAGTGTTTTTCATGAACAGACACTTCACTGTGATACTGCGAAGGTAGGAAATATGCAGGCAGAATGCTACTCCCTGAGCTTATATTACCAGGAGGCGGTGTGCACAACACTTTAAAGTGGGCTAAATGCTTTTGCACTGCTTTGATGGTAACGGTGTTTGCATGCCTTGGCGGCATATTATGCATTAATTCCAGCTGCTGTAGGAAATTTGGCAGTGTAATGTGCCTTAAATGACTTGGGGCGCAGCCTCAAAGTCATTGCCTTAAATGTAACGTGCCTTAAATGACTCCTTCGAGGAGTTTTAGTTTGCTGCCCCTACAGCTTCAGAGCAAAGCACCGGGCTCTGTGCATCTCCATGGCTCTGCAGGAAGCCCTGCAGGTAGCCTGGCAGCAGCCTGGGAAGGCAGGCTGCACCCAAGAAAAGCAGGGAGCCTGATTTTCACACCCCCTCCCCCTGGAGCCTGCCTGCCGGAGCTGAGGGGAGACCTACTGCTTCCCTCTGCAGCTGTGGTACCCCCCAGGACCACCTGAACCAGGTGCCTGCGGGTGGGTGCCACCCGGGTGAGGGAGAGGAGGAGTGGGGGGGGGCGGGGGCACCACTGCCATGGAGGGAAGCACTAGGCCCCCTCCCACAGCCCCTGGACCACTCCACCTGCTGGCAGCTCACCCTCCCCTCCCCGCCAGAGAGGCAGGTAACTCGGTGGAGTGTGTGTACAACATAGGGGTTTAATCAGCCCTAAATTGAAGTGGCATTTTTTAAAACCCACTGCTTCAATTTAGGGCCCCCATTTCATCTACTCGTGCCCAGTGATGCTACTACCACCACCTCACTCACTCCATTTTTACATGGCCTGTCCATTCATAGGAATGGATTGCCTGGACATGCCAGGTCTGCCAGCTCACTGAACAAGGGTTTCATAGCAAGGAGCTAATTGAAGCTAAGCCACAGTTCCAAAAGCACAGCCCTCTACTCACAGATAATTTTGGGGGAAGTGGAAGGTGAGGGGAAGGCTGATGCACTTGACACCTCATAGGCAGAGGGCATGGTCTATCAAATTTTTTAAATTAGTTCTGCTCTATTCCTTCTATCAGGCAAGCATCCAGGCTGATTCCCCAAGCTACTTGCAGTAATGGAACCTGATGATACTTAGCTGTGCACAGGACTGAGCTCAAACTATCACAAACATTGCTGGTTAGAGTCAAACAGCAAAGGGAGTACAATTTGGATCTAGGTCTCCAGTCTTGAAATACAGCCACGAAACTCCACTGCATACTTAGGTCCTGAATTGTATCTACCAGCCGTCTCTTTTCAGGGTAACACCCAGGCACTCTAAGGAGTGATGCAAGTTACTATTTCACCCCATTTCCCCTCCTAACTTTGCCCTATTTCTTACCAAGAGCAGGAACTGCAGGTGTGGAAATTTTCTGTTTCTGTTGCACAGCTCCTATGGCTGCTTGTGTTCACAGGATCACAGTGCCATTCAGCTCTGCAGAGCAGAGGAAGAATGTCCCATACCAGATGCTTCTGCTGCTGGAGGAGATGCAGCGTGGCAAACGGGAAGCTGTATTTCCCTTGGAACTTTCTCGCTGTCTCTCACTGCACGGTGTGGAATGTAAGCAGTAGCCCACCATTCCCTATGTGGTTGCACCTAGTACTACCCCACCCACATTTTCATCTGATTTAGGAAAGGGAGAAGCGGTGACATATTGCCACATGGTGTGTGCTGTATCCCACTAGCAGACACTTGAGATGCTGGGCCTTATTTCCATATTGGCCGATGAAAGGGATTTGGGGAGGTAGATCCTGAAGAGCAACCTGCTTCTTGGCTAGGGCATGAGATGGTTGCCCATGTTCTTAAGTAACAGCCTGCATTGCTCTAGGGAAGGAAAGCAGATGGGTCTTAGAGGGGCGTGGGATGTACTGGATATAGAGGGTGAGGTAGCTTATTGCTTGATATGTCTTCTTATATTGGTGTCATTACAGGGGGGAAGCTGCTCTTTTTTTCATAGTGTCAGTTGGAAGGGAGGGCAGGAAGATAGGTGGTTAAACTATACCAAACTCACCCCAGTCTGTGAGCAGATAAGCCTTGTTCTGATTCAGAACTTATCAAATCAACACGAAGAGAAGAACTGGCCAGGTTCAGCCTTTCAGCTGAGGAGTTTACCTTTGCATCTAGCTGGGTCATTAAATGTGCCATTTGGGCTGCCATGGAAAATCCATGTGTAGTGTTCTTGCCTAGTCCTTAGTAGTTTGTACTGGCAGGGAGTGTTGCTGGAACAGTGCTGGCCTGGAAGTAGGTGGCTCACATTTTTTTGTAGTGAGATATAATTCAAAAACAACACTGATGGGGATCCTGAGGAAACATCACCCTTCTCTCATCAGTTGGAAAGCCAGCTGGTGTACTATGGAGACTTGGGAGGATTGGAGGCAAAGAAGTGGGTGGGAACCTCATGTCTCTGAAAGGGGTTCAGGGGAGGAAGATTTATTGTTCATAATACTGACCAAGCTTGTAATGTCTCAATGTGTCCAGTGTTTGTCCAGCATGATGCTGCACAGCTATTACTGATCCTCTGGAACCTCATTAAGAGTCAAATCACAAACGTGGACCTGGTAAGTGTGATGAATGAAAAAGCCATGCAACCTATCCCTGGGAATGAGAGTTTTTTACTGTTTTTTCTAACAGGAATCCCTTTTACCAGCCAGCCTTTGTCCTAGGTCCAGGAGTCCCAGCCTTATCTTTTGGATTCTATTCTCTCATCTCCCAATCACCAGGAATCAAGCTCCTAAGAACTTTGTCATTTCAAGTTTCAGTTAAATTTCAGTTGAACTTCTTTCAGGCCAGGCCAAAGGGATAATTATCCTTGTTGCGGGAGGTACTTGTTAATAAAGAAAAAGAAAATCTTTTACAAAAACAGGTTTGGTAACCTCAGTTTTCTTCCAATTCCAGATTTACAGAAATATGAGTCAGTGTTATTTTCAGATGGTCACTGCTCCTTGCCTTAGTATCTGTCAGCTTCCTTCAGTTACTGCCAGCCACTGCTTACATGTTTAATGGAGGCAGTTTTTTTCATGAGAGGTTCCTAGGCTATGAACAAGCAGTAACCAGTAGCTCAATTTATTTATGCAGGAGACAACACACATTGTAGGTTTGGTACAAAACTATGGCCCTTGGGAGACATTACACTTAAAATGCTATTAGTCTGTTAATTTTTGTGGCTGGTTTCCGTCACATCTTAAATTGAACATGTGGCAGGACTAGGATTGCACCAGATCTCCCACCGGTCCTGCTGAAGTGGTGGAGCCATCTGAAAACCAGTGGATTGTGGGGAAAGTTTCAACTTCCCAGTATAAGGGAGTCTGGAATCATGATTCTGCACTGACTAGTAGGGTGCAATTGGGAATTGATTCCAAAATCATGCATCTTGCCAGGCATGTTTGGCATGGAAGGGGGCATGATTTTCGGGATCAGGGATTATATTTCGTCACTCCTTTAAATGAACACCTGTCAGCTGCATATGATTCCTCCATTACATACATGTAGATGTCTTACATATATGTATCTGCTACAACAGCAGTTCATCTGTTTAACTTCTGTGAAGCATTTATAGTGTCCTTATTTCGATGCTATGAGGTACTCTCTTTCTAGACAAGTGCCAGATCTGGTTTCAAGCCCTAAAGAAGTGACACTACATCAGTGAGTGTCCAAGTATAGCCACTAGCAGATGTACTGTATGATTTGTATCCATTTCTTCTTGGTTTTTTTACCTCTTCAGGTGGAAAGGCTGACTGCTTTGTACACTATCCGGGTGCAGGAGTACCTGGTTTGCCAGAGGTGTTCCTTTGAAACAAACTGGGACAGCTGCATGATAACTCTCCCACTCCCAATGCTTGATTCCAGATCTCACTGGCTGAGGACGCTGGTAGGTTCAGCATCCCTTCTCACTGTGCCTTTTATTAGGAGAAAGAGTCAACTCCACTAAGGCACTGGAATCTGATTCAAGAGCCTCCTTTCCTAGAAGCCATGTCTAGTATCTATCTAGTATCTATGCTGGGGTGCTATTTAATCTTTGCCTTTTCTGCTTGTCCCTGGAGGAATTCCACATGGAAGATAGAGCTCCTGAGGCTCCTTTCTGAAAGGAGGTTATAATTTTGGTATCTGGTCCACTGTTCCCTCTCTGTCTAAAACACATAGTAATAGCTGCATGTAATCCGCAGAGCGTAGACATCACAGTAATGTACCTTAGATAGAGTGAAGAGTGATTGTTGAATGCTAAAACAGGGGATTTGTCTACTTCAGGGGTGCTCAACCCCCAGTCTGCAGGCCAGATCTGGCCTGCAGTGCTACATCATATGACCTGCAGGGCTCCTCATGGATCTGGAAATTTGGTGGCAGGGGAGTGGTGGCACTATACCCCTGCTGCCAAATCTCCAGACCCAAAGGGAGCCCTGAGCTCTGTGATGGATCTGGTGCCCAGTCCCAGCACACAGGGCTGGGTAGGTTGGCACTGGGTCCTAGGGCCCAATCCCAGTGTTGGGGGCTGGGAGAGGGTGGTACCAGGCTGGCAGGGCCCAATTCTGGCTTGAGGGGGGCAGTGCCAGCCCCCTGGGACCCAATTCCAGCATATGGGGGGTGAGAAGTTGTGGTCCCAGACCCCAGGGATGCAATCCCTGCACACAGAGGCTGGGAGGGGGTGGTGCTAAGCCACCAGAGTCCAGTCCTGATGTGTGGAGGAAGCAGGGGGGTGCTAGGCCCCAAGGTCAAATCCAGCCTGCAGATGGATCCTTTACTACTCATCTGGCCCACAGGACCAAAAGGATGAGCACCACTGGTCTAACCTATAACAAAATAGGTAAAAATAAAACTAAAGAAGTAAAATCTTTTTGATCTTATTTATCAGAAAAAAGCAAGAGGAAAAAAAAAACTATTTCCTTTACCAGGCACCATGAAATCGCATGTCTCTTCTGTGTATGGGCCTTCATACTAAATCCCTTGAAATGAAGAAGTGGTAGAAATCTAACTTGGATGAATTCAGTTCCTGTTTTTGACTGATAGAAACCTTCTGTGTATTTCTAGGAGGATTCCCTACAGCACTTTTTCCAGCCTGAACAGCTGACTGGCAATGACATGTGTTTCTGTGAACAGTGTAAGCAGAAAACACCATGTCTGCAGGTAAGCAAGTATTTTCTCTAACTCATATAAAATAGGAAACTGCTGGAAGGGTGGCTAAAAAGACAGTGGAGTTATACTGTTCCTAGTAGTGGCAGATGACAGAACAAGGAGCAACAGTCTCAAGTTGTAGCAGAGGAAGTTTAGGCTAGGTATTAGGAAAAACTCTCAGTAGGAGAGTAGTAAAGCACTGGAACAGAGAGGTTGTAGAATGTCTGTTGGGCTGGGCGGGTAGTGGTCACTAACTCATGGCACTTTATGTAAAGCGCCATGAGTTTGAGCAGAGGCCTGCATGTCTGTCAGCACCCTTGACAAAGTGTTGTAGCTATACCAGCACAAAAATACCTTCTGTTGGACTTTGCTGTTTCTCTACTACAGGACTCTCCTGGTTTGGTTATGTTGCTAGAGTAACAGAGGCTGTAAACAAACCCCAATTCCAACTCATCAGTGAGACTTTATTGGACTGATAAGATATTTGAGTGTTGCCAAAGTGTAAGAAAACTATAAAACCTTCTAGCATATATTGTCCAAGGTGCATGTTGTTCAGGATAGGGTAGACCACTTAAGGTGTTCTTTTTAGGCACTTGCTGAAGGGGAAATTGTCTATGGACCTACCTCTCAACCACCCTGTACTCTGCAGGGAAGCCCTGCTACTCATGGCAGTATCCTACAATGCTTCTCTGTGCATCTCGCATGTTGCCAGTGTAGTGACCATTGGGTTCAATGAACACAGGCATACATGAATGAGAACTAAACAACAAACTTTACTGGGGGGCAATAGGCTAACCTCTGCAGATCCTTTTTCTCTCTAACTTAACTACTACCTGAGTCTCCTAACTCACTAACCATTTCCTAAAACTCCCAACTTTTCAAACTAGGGAGCATCTCTAAATGATAGCTTCTGTCACTATAGCCATGATTGCATTTATCCCTCCATTACCTCCTGTAGTCTTGTCTAACCACACAGAGAGCTACATGCTTCAGGGAAGGATAAAAGAGAGACAGAGAAGTAATGCACAGAATGAACACTCGAAGACTAAGATACAAACCATGGTACAGCCAGGAGATTTTATGGTTATGGATTCTTTACATAGTTTATAACCCAGTGTGTATGTAAACCTTTAGCATTTCCAGTCAAGCAGACTTTGAATTTCTAAAATGAAAAGCAGGGGACTTAATTCACTGTGGCACAGACCACTGTATATCCTAAAGTGATTTATGTTGGTCTTAACATCTTAAATCTCTCTCAATTCCTTAGTCTTCAGCTTCAGTGTTTATTGCATTGCAGGGCACAAGGCTAAAACAGCTGCCACTGACCTTGACCCTTCACCTAAAACGATTCTACTGCAAGAAATCCACTAGGATTCAGAAGATCAGCCATTCACTACCGTTCCCACAAAGCCTCAATTTCAGCGAGATCCTGACACAAGAGCAGTGTCATGCAGATGCCAAAGACAGGGTGAAGTGGTTTAATTAATTTCACCTAACGAGACAGATCACCTACCCTTCTTTCTGTTCATTCAGTAGACTCACGAGTCCGAGAGACATCTGTCTCACTGTTCAGTACCGTTGTAAGGGGGTTAGGCTCTGGGCTTAACCTGTACCTAACATTGTCACATACCCTGTGATTTTAACTTTTTGTCATTTTGCAGGTTTTGTACTTAGGCTAAATCAGCAGACTAAGTTGCTTGCTATCTCAAAATCTTGAACCTGTATATTTTTTTGAGACTAGTAACATAACTTTCCCAGCGCTGCTCTGTTTCCAGTTACGTTACAGAGAAGAACCTTTATGTCTTACTTAATCATAACGAATATTTAATTGGCAACTCTTGCCTTGGTCTGTAAACCCATTTCATGGATACCAGAGAGGTAATGAGCAGCAAATCTTGCATTTCACACTGGATGGGAAGTCAGGATGTGGGCAGTCCACTCAGAGCAACCTGCACACTGCTGTATCTCACAGGGCTGTGAATAGCAGGGATTCATTTCTACCCCTGTGGAAGAGTTAGTATTAGCAGAGCAAAGACATAGGTAGGAGATCTGTTGCTATGTGGATCTATTGGTTAACCTTCCTGTAATGAAGGAGGGTATAGTACCAGTAGGGGCTTGAGGTTGCCTTTTTTGTTTGCAAAGCAGTTTTGTTGGTGTGCCATAGTCTTATTCCCCCTAACGTCCATGGGACTTCCCTGTTTACAGCTATTTCTTTGGGCTATGTGAGCACTAAGATTAAGGCATTTAAGACAGCTGTGCTCATTTTATCTCACCCATAATGGTTATGAAGCCCTGAAAACCTTGGTTTCAAAGGTCTTGATTAACAAAGGCCTAAATAGGGCTTAGGTTCCTAAATAAGTAAATGGATGTTTGGAAGAACAGGATATTCAAACTGAATTCCCTTTAGGCAAAACTGAAGAAAATGATCTTCAGGACAAGGCTATCTTTGTCCTGCCCCCTCTCAGGGCCCCCCTGGGGTGCTGGGGGCATCACAGTCCAGGCAGGTATCATGGTCATGGGCATCCAAAGCGGCAGTGTGCACCTCTTCCCCTCCGATCGGGCCAGGGTCAGGGGCTAGGGGTGGGTGTGGAACTCCATGCTTGTGGCAGTGGCTTCTGTGCCCCACCCCTCACCCCCAGACCAGCCCTGGCCTCAGCCCAGGCCCTGGCCCAAGCTCATCCCACAGCACTGGGGGACTGCAGCCCCAGCTGTGCAAAATCTGCTGGATGGAGGGGCTGGGTTGGGCCAGGGCTGAGGCTGCCTTCACCTTAGCGGTGCTTGCGCCCCCTGACTCACCCCAGATGCACAAAGGAGGCTGGGCTGGCCCAGCTGCAGGCCCTTGGTGGGTGCAGAGAGAACCTGCTCTTGCCTGGTGGGAGGCCTCCAGTTCCCTAGTTGCCCAGGTTCCCAATAAATCTTAAGCTGCCACTGCCCCCTCTTGTTGTGGGGCAGAAGGCATATTTCTCATGAAGACAATAACATCTGTTGTGTTATCATCTCTGCTCAACAGTTTGAGGCTGCTGCAGTGACACTGTTGCTCTTTGTGGCTCTTTTTAGGTTGATTGGCAGTACGATCTCTTTGCTGTTGTTGCTCACTTGGGATCAGCCAACTTTGGCCACTACTGTGCCTATATTCGGAGCCTTACAGACCACCAGTGGTACTGTTTCAATGATTCCAGCGTCTGCCAGGTGAGGAAACAGAGCCCCAGCTCTTCAGTCTTTTCTGCTGTTCAGTCTTTCTAGTCTCTGCCTAGGCTTACAGAAAGCACTTCTAGTTCAAGTAGATGTGCACAACTGAATGGGTACTGAGCTCTTTTCTCCATCTTGTGCCCTTCTGCTATACATCTGTAGCATTGTAAATGGCAGTTTCATGGATTTCATAGACTTCATAGACATTAGGGCTGGAAGGGACGTTGGAAGATCATCGAGTCCAACCCCCCGCCCAAAGGGCAGGAAGTCAGCTGGGGTGATAGGATCCCAGCAAGGTAAGCATCCAATTTGCTCTTGAAGGTGTTCAATGTAGGTGCTTGAACCACCTCCGATGGCAGGTTGTTCCAGACCTTGAGGGCTCGGACAGTAAATAAATTCTTCCTTATGTCCAGCTTGAAAAGGTCTTGTAGTAGTTTATGACCGTTTGACCTTGTCATCCCTTGGGGTGCTCTGGTGAACAAATGTTCCCCCAGATCCTGGTGGTCACCCCTGATAAACTTATAGGTGGCCATCAGATCACCCCTGAGCCTGTGCTTTTCCAGGCTAAAGAGCCCCATGGCTGTAAGCCTGTCGTCATAAGATCTGTTTTTCTGACCTGTGATCACATGCGTGGCTCTTCTCTGGACTCTCGCAGGCTTCTCCACATCCTTTTTGAATTGTGGAGCCCAAAACTGGACGCAGTATTCCAGCTGCAGCCTCACCAAGGCTGAGTACAA